ATGTTCCTGTTTGTGTATCCACCTTACCTTACTAGACTGCGGACATGGGGTCTCAGACCTACTGTGTGAGGCTGATGACTTATCTTCCTGGGAAAAACCCTTGCAGAATCTCCAGGCACTATGCAAGATCTTTATCATGTGGGCAGGTTAATTGCTTTCATGGACAAGACATTGCAAAAAGTAAGAGCAAAAGTAACACTTGTATCTTTCCACATACTGTATTTCTAATACACATCCAGCTGTTCTAAAGGTGCTGTATTTTATGTGTCTTCAAGTTTTGTCTGCTAAAGACCGAATTATATTGTCAGTTTAGTTGATGTAGAGCTATAGAGTACAAATATTGGCTAACACGCCAACTATGTCCACTTAAAATGTCCGTCAGACGGATCAAAAGGATTTGATTAAAAAAAAAGCATACAAAATGATTTACTACTTTTTATGTACTTTTTATTCATGGACCTGTGTTATTTTTTTTGCTTTTACATTAGTGTTTTAAAAGGGCATTTTTTAATATGTTTCTGCTGCACTATTTCTTAATGTTCTTAATGTTTTAATTGTTGTAAAGCACTTTGAATTGCCTTGTGTTACTATTGAAAACATTGCCATTTTTCTCCAAGCTGGAATCTCCAAACCTGGATGTCTTACACAATAATTGTGATGAAGAATGGAGTTCATCCAACATTAATCTCAAAGAGCGCTGCCTGTTAGTGATGGATGGAGATCCCCTGCAGGAAGTGATCAAAGCAGTCATCGAACAGTTTAAATCACACGTGCAGCCCAAAATCAGCTCTTTCCAAAAAGGTAATACATGTTCTACTGTGTTATGTTCTGCATTCCTATGGTTAAGTATTTCACTCTGTTCAAGATTCTGCTTGTTTGGTTAAGTTATGATCCTGTAATTGTTAACAGGGTGCATGCTAATCCAGTCGAGAATGCTAAAGAATGATATTTGACAATTCCACAATGACAATGCTAGAAACGGTGTGACCTTTGTACAGGGAGCCACAACAACGTGTAGTCTATGGTCCATGTGCAATCATTTATATTTTGTCACCATTTAACCATTATTTTAACCACAATCTTCCAATTACCTTATGTAAGGGAAACTTCTGTGTAGCAATACAGTCGGAGTGACATGGGGTGAGTTGGAGCTTTGATGTCAAACACTGATGGTTTATTTAGGAGCTTCGGCCAGAAAATTCACAAAACAAGTCCAAGAGCCAGAGGTTCTGACTTCACGGTAGAGTTGCCACGTCTAATCTGAAGAACTCTACCCCAGACCCATGTATTTAGCTAGTTCAGAGAGAATAATCAACATTGTGCTTAACAAGATAGAATGATAACACCTCTATCAGCTGACGCCAACAGGGAGGAACAGGGAGACAAAACACTGAGAGCACAGCAGCCAAGGTTACAGGTGCGTGTGCTCAGTCAGGACAGTATGAACTGATAAACTGGGTCAAAGTTATGGACCTTGGAAAATATTTCCTCAACACCTTAAAACTGCTGTATTGAGTATTACTGTCCCTCTATGGGTCCACAACATTTGTTCGTGGTGAAATATCTCCACAACTCCTCGACAGGGTAAGGTCATATTTTCTACAGATCCCCAAAGGATGAGTCCTTCTGTCTCGGATCTCCCGACCTCCTCTTTCATCTCTAGCAACACCAGAAAGTTGAAATTTGCAGTTGTGATTGAAATTGCTCAGCCATTGGCCCGATTACCATTCAATTTGTTTCACGCAATTATGGCCAATTTCTCTTCCAATGCTCCTAAAGTCGAATTGACCAGAGCAAATCCAAAAGAGATAAACAGAGCCATTACCTCTATGGTAACAGATATCAATTGCTTGTTTTCCCTCTATGACACAAAGTTTATTCTATTTTTTCATAGGAATAATACATGGAGACACAAACGCCACAAACATCATTGTGACACCTGTAGGAAACGGTCGTCATGAGGTGTCAGGCATGCTGGACTTTTCTTCCCTCATGAATGATTGCTATGTATTTGAACTGGCAATAACAATTGCGTACACAATGCTTGAGAACCCCAGTCCATTGGATGTAGGTGGAGCAATACTTACAGGTTGGGAGAGCATCATGGTACTCAATGAAGATGAAAGGGAAAGCCTCTACCTGCTGGTGCTCGTTGGGTTGTGCCAGTCTCTGGTTTATGGCCGGTACGATTTAAAAAAATATCCTGACAACAAGAACTATCTCCTGGTTACAGCCAAAAATGGGACTCGGATTCTTACTAAACTGTGGGAGATGGGAAAGAAAGAAGTAGAAAGAAAATGGTTTACAGATGCCAGCACAAAGAATGCATTTTGACTTTTCCGAGTTTTTGAAATACATTTTTGATTTGGAATTGTATCATATTTGACAAAAAAAATATTTCCCAGTTCCTACTGCTTTTTGCTTCTATTTTATTCATCATTAGGAACCATTAACGAATGGTTAAATGAAGGGGCAATGGGTGTAACCCCCTCGTTTATTTACAGTAGTCTGTTGGTGCTCCTTTATCTGTGGCATTTTGTCTTTTCAGTTTTTGTCAACGTTGAAGTGTTATTCCCATTCTTTTTTTTATCATGTGTCAGTATTTTAAACTCTCTATCACGTTTAGGATACCTTTACTTGCTGGACTGATTATCTGTCTATAACTGTGCCCCAATTTAAGTAAATACTTTTACTTTCACTCTGCGTTCTGAAGTGTGATCTTGGGTCTTCTGCTTGCTGGTATCAAGTGTGCGTAAAAATAACAGGAGGAGACTAAAAGGTGAACCACACAGTATTGCTTATGCTTTATGCTGAGAGGAAGAAAAAAACGGCTGTCTCTAGTCTAGTGACTTAAATAAACCTAACTTCACTGGCTCTTAATTCTTATAAAATCCTAGTAGCATAATCATTTTTTGTTTGTTTGTCTGAACAAGTAATTGTTTCCCACAAAATGCAAATACAATGTATGCACTTTTACTTTTCAAGCAGGAATTTGGAATTCATTGTAATGGTGCTAGTGACAAAAAAGCAATACAAATGTACTTTTGATGTTCAGAAAGCTGTACTGCTAAAAAAGAAAGCAATGAACACTAGATGGAGACATCCTACCATTTATCCCACATCCTTTTTATTTCTTTGACAGTGAGTATAGAGAGAGACCACATTATCTTGTGTTATCAAGATTATGAACTAAAGCTTACCTCTCCAAAAGTGTGAAAATATTCCTAAAATATTTGTATCTCTAAGTGAATGGTTGACATAGAGTTATAGCAGTAAACATTTTATTTGACAAAATCATGAAAAAATAAAAGCAGAAACTATGGTTCATGAGACAAGTTAGATACCAGTCCCATCACTATTAGTAAACCAAATGTTGTAGAGAGTCAGTCATTGTAACTGTATTTTACCTTCAAAATGGGAGAAGTGCAAACAGCTCCAAGAGCCTTCTATGAACACAAACACACAACCACACACAGACCTTGTCTACCTTTCTACATTTTAACCTCCCACCTCAATAACACCATCTGCCCTCTGCCCCCGCTGCAGCTCGCGACATGTACCTCCAGTCATGCAGAAACAGTCCCAGTGTGCGTGTGTGAATGTCTGCCTGTGTTCACGTTTGTTCTCCGTCTGTTTCACTGTAGTTCCCCGGCATCCAGGCACATCGAGCCCAGAGAGGCTGGAACCTTTGCACTGTTTTCTTATAAAACACAGTTTCTCCCCTCTGTCTCTCCTGCCTTTACTCTTTTTGTCTTTGTAATACTTTAAATCCATGTTCCACAAATTATAGCTGAAATAGAAATGGCAGCACTCAAAGGACTCAGCTTAATACACCAACCCCACTTATCATAGCCATTAATCCTCTTGGCATTTTAAAACAGCGCTCTGGGTTTGTACAGCACCTTTTTTTTGAAAATACAGAAGATCATTTTATTTAAATTCACCCTCCAAAGAACACCAATCTGCAAGCTTTTAAAGTCAGAATTAGTTGTTTATAAAACGGGCTGCACCCTTGACAGGCCTTGTGAATGAATTTCTTTTTTTATTATAGTATGATATGTTCATATTTTGACAGCACTTTTCAAAGAAAGGTCAACAAAGAAAACCAAGGCAACAGCTGCACATCATAATCTCCTAGTGTAAGAAAGCAATTCATAAAGGTTATAAAATGCAATCTCTGCAGCGATATACAGTGTGGCAAAATGTTAAACCTCTACTTCATTATTTGTGGCTTAACTAAGGTTTAGAACATCATATAAATGCTTAAAATGTAATCAAATAGCGAATTCCTCCATTAAGACAAATATTTTTAATTAGAAAGGTACATTTTTCTAATGTTAAAGATTAATTGCAAAGGCCCTGAAGGCACGTTATGGATATCATATTGAATGTTTTAAAATCATAATTATCTGACTAAATTACATTTAAATTACACTTTTTTCTTTCAGTCATCCCTACAGTACAAACATGTATGCAATATGCAATTGAAAAAAACAGCATTTTTAGGGATTTTGCAGATGATATGACTATTTTTACCTCCCTCTCAAACACCTGAGAGAGTTTGATCTCCACTTGCCAATCATAAGCCATGCTTTTACAACAACTAGCTCAGTGTTCCTGGTTTCCATTCTAATATATTTCTGTGATTCCTTTGGGTCATTTGTCAGATGTTTTTGGACTTTTCGACCATGGATGTTTCCAAGTATTACTGGAGTGAAGACATCTGGACTCCACAGTTTTAAGAGAGCAGTGTATTGATAATAGGATTCTATGCGTGGCTTACACTGCATATACTATACACACTGTTCCTCATGTCAATGTCCCTTCTGACTAATAAAATACTAACCTGCATTAGATTCCAGCTCAGTCCCGGACGCCGGAGAAAATCACCTGCCATAGTCTTTCTTGTAGCTGTGGTCACCTTTACTGTGGTATGCAGCTGAATTCATGATTGAGTTTTTCTCATTTAAAGTTTTTTGTCTCTGTTGTTGAAAAAGCATGACATTGATTGCAGCTCAAAAATCCTAATAACACTTAACAGAAATTGCTCAAAGATTATTCTACTACTGCTGATTTATACGTCATAACATACATAAACAATGCGCCAAATACAGTTAAAATCCTTAGGTAAATCCAAATTCTACATTTTTGATTTGTTTTAATTGAAAACAACCGTTAGTCTCCGTCTTCAGAACACATTACACACACAGCTTTTTGCCGTCTTGCCAGGCCTTGGCAGCTGCCAAGCCGACCTGTTAAGACTAATTCACTTCATGGATTCCTGACAGAGTCTCGTGTAATGCATATTAGCTTTATGACTAGACGATCTATAGTGGCCAAGATGTCAGGATTTGATACAAAGCTAATGGGTTTCTTTCTCTGTGTTAACAAAGATGTTTCTCATCTGTTATGTTAATTGACATCTTGGCAAGGTCCTGAACTAACTGGTTTTACACAAAAAACGTGTGTCCATTACTTAATTATGTAGCCCTTTGTGCATGCACTTAACTAACATTTATTGAAAGGCTTAATCTTCTCAGCTTTGAAAAAATGCAATTGTAGTGCCGTGACTGTTTTCAAAAGAAGGCATACTTCATGTATAAAGTCACCTCTACATTGTGACAACTTTCTAACAGAGGCATAATAACAGCAGTTTCCAGCCAATAAAAACAAAAGGGATGCTCCTCACAATTGGGAGTAAAGCTGAGGAAGAGACACAGGCCTCAATTAGTAAGCTGTTGTGGTAGCTCAGTGACTTCCACAGTCTTATCAGAGTGTTTCAGAGCTGCTGGGCTTAACAGACGGCTGCTGGCCTCAGTGTGCTACCATGAACTGTTCGCCATCAGAACCCACAGAACTCAGCAATGGGGGAGCAAAAGAAAGCCATTAGGGTGAATTCATTAAAACTTTCGTTCATTATCACATGACGGTTTCTGATGGACGTCTTTGCATTCTCTCTAACAATTGTCATGGCGGCATATCTGCACCGAACAGGTGGAAAGCACAGTGGCCTCTCAGAGCTCCAACATTAGGGAGGCTCTTAGAGAGGGGTGGCTAATCGATTGGACAGACTGGATTTACTGAGATGACTGAGTCACAGGGTGACTACGGAGGCAAAGTAGAAACTGTGTTTTTTTATATTGGGGGGGTGTCTTATTCCAATGAGAGACTGACTACCTGAATGATCGAAACAAGAAACGTTTTGAAGTGTAGTTCATGTTTGTGTGAGTAAGAAATACAGAGGTTTTGTTATAAAATATGAACAACAGATGCCTTTTTAACTGTTTAAATATTCTGCAGATGATTTTGATTGATTATTTGAGTGACTTTGAAATGTATCTTTGATGCAATTAGACCACAAATAAGGTGGAATTGATGTGTTATAGCAAATAGATGGCAGTATAAAATCAGGGTTACTGGACCTTGCCATCCAACATTGGAAATGCAAAGTTTAAAGGGTTTATTAACAAATCCTACATTTTAGCATTTAACACTTTGTCTTTTCTGTTACGTCGTACCATGACAAAGGTTATAAGAAATCTTTCTCCAGCACAACACAATTTACTTAGTAAGCATCATCAACAGGAAGGTATAATGACAAAAATATTTTCTTTGCAATAATATAAGTGAGATTTGTGTAATTTCCTCAACTTTTCCTGTCCTGTGATTCACATTCTTGACACTGTCTGACTTGATGAAATTGTTAACCTGCTCCACCCACACAGCAAATGTATAGCTGAACTCAGAGTATAAAAAGTCTGGCACTCCAAGAAAGTTTCAAACACCCCCTCATGCCCCACAGCCATATAGTGGACACATAACTCTTCAGTCAACTCTATCTCATTAAAAATTCAACTTTTATAGCACTACTGGAAGATTTGCTGAATATGTGGTACTCCAAAACATGTTGCAGTAATACAAACTTTTAGAAATATTTTGAGATAACATTATTGACCAAGAGAATAACCATTGACAATTTGCACTTTTATTATTTAGGAGTTTTTGCTTGAAAGAAGTGGAGGGAAAACTGTCCATATTTTGTTAGCTCTTTGCCTTCTTACTGTCTTCCTTTTTAGTTATTTGGTCAGAGATGAGTTGCAAAGGTTGAGTTTAAGCACACTGTTCTAAATACAGATACACATGTAAGAAGCTACTTCAATTTCCCTCCAAGCACTACAAATTTCTCCCTCTTTCTGACGCTGACAATAAGCACAGCACAGCTCAAGTTGACATGTTCAACGCAGTGCCATGGGCAGTGACCCAAAACCCTTCCAAATGTGAAGAAAATGTGAGATTGGAAGAGACACACGTCTGCTGCAAACAAGGGCAAAAGAAGGGCGGAAGAGAGAAAAAAATTGGAGAGTGAAAGATGGATGTACCATCCTGTACCCTCCAGAATTTCAGATCATTAACCGACTTGTCTCTGGCGGTTTTAGCCAG